CAGATTCTTACAAGGATCTGTTAATACGACTTAGTGTAAGAAATCAGAGACTACGATTTTCCGTACGGTTTTCGTCTGATCGTATCAGATCAAATATGATCAAACGTACGATTCTTGTAAGATCTTATTATCTGAATGTTTGCCCTGGGATTTTTTATATGATTTTTTGTATGATTCTACATGAACATATATGGTTCTTACATCAGATCAGATATGGTCATGCATGAATCCATAGCTGATCTTACTATCTGATTGCTCGACCTGGGTCTCTATCACACCTTGCATTCCTACTTGTATCCATATTCACAAACCTCCCACATCTGCACGCTCGTCTACAACCTACTTCAAATGTCATATGTATTTAGATTTTAATTCACATAAAAGTTTTTTACTTAATATCATACTCAAAAATAAATTACTTTTACTATAGATGTGAATGTTCTCTCTTGAAAATATGTATCTTATGCTTTTTTCATGTTAAAACAGTTACTAAAAACATTAGCTTTTTATTAATTTATTATATATACAACAAAATGAATAGAAGTATTTTTTTAGAAAATTCTTTCCTCACACGTACTTACAAAAACGAAAAAAATAGAATCATTAAGACTAGATATCTTCTCAAAGGAACAGTCTGTATCTCGATCAAGAAATTTATTCTTCTTTTAACTATAAACAATTCTTACTGGAGTTCTAGAACTTCTGAGCTCGTAGCAATTTATTTTAATTTTCGACGTTAAGACTTTCTGGCTTTTAGAAGTTAACCACCATTTCCTCTCAACAGAACATAGAATATGTCGATAACATTCCAACATGTTAATGAATATGAAAAAAAGTTGAAAAATGCTAGGCATACCTATGTTCACATAATATGGTAACCGACAGAAGTTCATCATTTCGATTTCGGCAGCTTCTTCTTGAAGTATCAGTGTTAATCGAGTAAGCGGTACTTCGGATCGATTGTTACCATTTTTAGCATAGGTTGGAGAGAAAACTTGAAAGAGTAAGTATTCAAATCGCCGTGCTATCTTAACAACGGTTGCCTCATTGTAAAGATCACGCGAACAAACAAGAAAACACGATATGGTCTTATCTTCTAAAAATGTATCATACTGAAAAGTTAACATGAAATCAAATTTAGCTGTTTCATTCCATTGATCAGGCACCAAAGGCTCCATAATAGCACCGTCACAATTTAATTGGGAGGCAGCTGGTAGAAAGTTTACAAAATCGAAAGAAATATCAAGAAAATTGATGTTCACTTGTTGTTTATGAGAATCCGCCAGAATACGTTGAAGTGGATAATGAGTATGTTCAAGAATCGACAAACATTTGTCACGAACTTGTTCAACAAGATGGTCAAAAGAACGGGACGGATCTATTTGAACACGATATGGTAGAGTAGCAATAAACATGCCAACAAAATCTTCTATCTCTGGTCGGTATCGATTAGCATCGACACATGAAATACATAAATCGATTTCACCATTGCTTAATTTGAAAAGTAACACATAGAAGGTAGCAAGACCAAGTTGAAACGGTGTGACATTATGAGATGATGCATAAGCAAGAAAAGATTTTGACAGGTCGCTATTGAGCGAGAATCGAGCTGAATAAGCAGCACTCGATCGCTGGTCCGTCTTTGAACGACATCGATCGACAGGCAATGATAAATGCTTCTCGAAGTTATAACCATCCAGTTCTGCTCGCCAAAAGTCACCTGACTTAGTCATGTCAACTAAACGTTCATGAGTTGAATAATCAATATACTGCAATGAATTATTGCCAATCTCTAATGGTTTGTCAGCATTATAAGCGATACAGAAATCATCAAAAAATGTTCGAAAAGAACTACGATCTACAGCCGCGTGATGGAAAACAAAAAGGAGTACATCTGACACAGTTATGAAATCATTGTTGCTTCCGGAATAGGACGAAGCATATCGGAGAACCTCAAAATGAAAAACACGACCATTTGATAAGTCGAAAAGAGTTGGGCTTTCGATAATTTTGTGCAATAAAGAATTCAGATCCTCACTGTTTTCGAACGTTCGCTCGTCAGCAACAACAAATGTTTCATGAAATGGTTCGATTCGCTGTTTTAGACACCCCTGAACAGGATCGAAAAAGAGACATGTTCGCAGTATTTGGTGCTTCTCCAGAAGTGATCTCACTACCCGCTGAAGACGCTCCACTGAAAGTGAACCAGTTGTTATGGTAAAGGCTTTGAATTCATTATATACAACGGTTCGGTTAGAAAAGCGCACTTGTTCATCGAGATAAATACGTTCTTGAGGAAATGATGCAATGCCTATTAAGTTAAAAAGCTTACATAGTTTTATACAGTACCAGTTGCAAAGTATTCCTAACCTTCAGTGATATGTAACGATTGCCATGCTTTCAGTTGTTTATCAGCGTGCCTGATTCCTTCAAGTAATTTTGCATGTTCAACGATTGTTGCTTGCTGAAGAAATGGTGTAATAGTCAGCGAGCGGCTATCAAAACTGAACAGCGACTGATATAGATGATAAAGTTTAATGAATAGAAGTGAATGACCGCCGATTGTAAAGAATGTAGCTGTTGTTGAAATTTTTTTCTCCGGAACTTTCAGTATTTCGCACCAAAGACCATGCACACGCTCTTCCATTTCAGTAGAGGGAGAATTATATATATTGCCGATCGAGTCGCCTAAAGAGTAGAAATCAGGAGATGGAAGACGCTTCCGATCCACTTTTCCGTTAGCATTTAATGGTAAATTATTGAGCACAACGAATATCGAAGGAATCATAAATGGTGGAAGACGAGCACGGCAATGTGTGCGTAAATCTTCTTCACTAATGTCAGATCCTTGCACGTAAGCAACCAGATGATCATCTCCGTATTTAACGGCTACACAGCCGCTAATGTGACTATCAAGTAGACATCTCTCGATTTCACCGATTTCAATACGTTGTCCATGTATTTTCACTTGATTATCTTTTCGGCCAACGTAAAAGATGAGTCCACTACTGTCCATTCGAACAAGATCACCAGTCCAATAGTACTTGAAACCGTTGACTTCAACTAAGACTTTCGACGTCAAATCATCACGATTGAGATAACCAACAAAAACACCTACACCTCCTATTAAGAGTTCACCCGCCTGACCTACAAACACAGGTTGCTCAAATTCGTCATGAATTAAGCATCGGTAGTTAGGAAGTGGCCGACCAATAGGAATCATGCTTTTAAGATCTGTTTGATTGATTCGATGACACGTGGAAAAAATTGTCGTTTCGGCTGGTCCGTATGCATTCCAAATTAGGCAATCGGAATTAACAATGGTTTTTATTCGTTCAACTAACTTAGATGACACAGTATCCCCTACAAAATAAAATATGAAAATTAATCTTTCATAGCGTTCATACTAGTTTCATTCTACGAACCTCCAGCACAAAGTGACCGCATTGAACATAATTGATGTGGCTGGACTTCGTGAAAAAAATCACAGAGACTGTTAAGCATTGCTGGCACTGCAAACATATAGCCGATCTGTTTATCACTAAGCACTCTAGTCAAGTACACTAGATCCATATTACCATCAGGATGAAGCATAATGACTGTGGCACCGAGTATGACTGCTCCTAAGATTTCCAACATGTGAGCATCAAAAGAACATTCGGCGAGTTGTATGGTTATGTCTTTGTTGCAGAACATGTCAATGGATTGGAGGGCATCCATACAAGTGACGATATTTCGATGCTGTAACTGTACCTGTAATAGATGAATTAGTTACTATGCTCTTGATAAACTAATCAGGTACTCACTGCTTTGGGTGTTCCAGTTGATCCACTAGTGAAGACAATGGCGGCGATGCAATCCGATGACACATTGAGACACTGAAGTTTACTGGGATTGAATTCGTTACACATATAGCTGTGATTTACATTTTCATCAATGTCTATCGTGATAATATTATCATTAAATCTTCCTTTTGTCATTGAATGGACTAGAATGATACGACTTCGTGTTTGTTCCAAAAGCATCATGAGGCGTTGGCTGGGATTTCGAGGTGATAGAGGGCAATAGACAGCACCAACTATTTCGATAGATAAGATACCGATTATCTTGAAATACAACATGTATCATTTTCTAGAATCATATGTATGCACAAATACTACTCACCATGGATAAACTTCGTTCTACACATTGACATATGATTTCACCAGTCTGGATTTTACAATTTTCAAGTAAATAAAGAGCTAGAAATTGAGCATAATAGAGTAGCTCGCTGTATGTCAGGGACTGATCATCGAGCTCAGCAGCCACTTTTTGTGGATATTCCATTGCACGATAGCTGAATTCTTCATGCACAGTTTTGACGCAAGAATAGGAAACTGAAGCTTTGTTCAACGATTGGATAAGTCGGTCTTCCTCCTGTAGTATCAATGATAACTTATAGATAGACTCATTGTTCCTATTAGTACCAGACTCAAATAACTGCTTCAACATCAGATGGAATCGTTGTCCGAACTTGTTGATTGTACATGGCTCGAAAAGATCTGTTGAGGCATTAATTTCACATGATAATTCTCCGGTATCCAAGTCATGATGGATGTTAAACGAGAAATCAAACTTGCTTACGATCTCATCCGGTCCAATTTGGATTGAATAAGGCACTAGACAAAGAGAAGCACCACCAAGTACCACTTCTTTAACTGTGCTCTGTGTTGACGTTGCATAAAATTGAAAAGATGTGTCAAGAAAAGCTGGCTTCGATACAAGTGGATGTTGAGCAAGAATGCGCTGAAGAGGGAAATAAGAATAGGTCGAAGTATCAACCGCCATTTGATGCACTTCCTCGATCACTCGAGCAAAAGACCAGCTGGGATTGAGTTGGCATCGTAAAGGTATTGCATTTGCAAACATTCCAATCACCGATACTAGTTCAGTTTTACAGCGACCATCAGTGTTTATTCCGATACATAAATCCTTTTCGCCATTAGTCAACTTGAACAAGAAGACGAAATAACTAGCAAGAGCCAAATGTTCGGGTATCGTGTTGTTTGTAGAGGCATGAGTAAGAAAAGCTCGTGAGAGATCTTGACCAAAGTTAAAAGTAGTACGTGTGCCACGGCCGGTTCGATATTGATCAGAAATTCGATGTCTATCACATGGCAACGGTAGTGGTTGATCTATCTTGCAGTCACGAAGATAGTCAAGCCAAAAAGCACTAGCAGCAGTCATTGGCATTTCTTTCTCAGTAATGGCATCTAAATTATGCATAAATATAAGTGAAATGAACCAGAGCTGGGCAAGTTGAAGGTTTCTCAAGTCACAAGTCAAGTCAAGTCACTAAAAAGAATTTCAAGTCAAGTCAAGTCAAGTCACGTCCCAAAATTTTTTCGATCAAGTCAAGTCAAGTCAAGTCACGTCCCAAAATTTTTTCGATCAAGTCAAGTCAAGTCAAGTCAAATCAAACCTCAAAATTTTTTCGACCAAGTCAAGTCAAGTCAAGTCATATTCCAAAATCTTTTCAACCAAGTCAAGTCAAGTCAAGTCATATTCCAAAATTTTTTCAACCAAGTCAAGTCATCCCTCGAAATTTTTTTCCTAGAAGTTAAGTCAAGTCCGATTAAAAGTTAGGCAGAACATAACATTTACTAGCACTTATCGGATGAGGATCAATTTTTATAGTCTCAGAATTCTATTTCATGGTAAAAAACAATGCCTATAAGAAACAGAACTGGGCAAGTCAGAGGCTTCTCAAGTCACAAGTCAAGTCAAGTCACAATCCAAAATTTTTTTCGACCAAGTCAAGTCAAGTCAGACTTGACTTGACTTGAGGCATTTTTGACTTGATTTGAGACATTTTTGACTTGACTTGCCCAGCTCTGAAATGAACATTATTTATGAAGAATGATCTTACAATCAATATAGCGTAGAATTGATTCATTGTCATATTGTAATTGACCTGTAGTGTAAGCTTGATTGAGATCTCGTTGAAATACTTCCATTGAAGGAAAATCGAACAGAGCATGATGGAAATTGAAAATGAGCGAGTCTCGTTCCGAAAGACATACCTTGTTTGCATCTATTTTGTAGGACACCATATGACATCGGAAGACAAGACCTCGAGCGAGATCGAAATGATTCGGATTTTTGCGCTCATCATGCATGATATTACAGAGTTCTTCGTTTGTTGTAATCACGCTTTCGACGAATGTAAAAAGTTCATTTCTATTTTCGTTCGTTTCAATAACCTGCTGCATTAAAACATTTTTTTCTGTATCGAAAATAAGCGATGTTCGAAGACTTTCATGTTTCATGACGACCAGTTTGAGAGCTTGGCGTAGACTTCTAACTGACAGAGTGTCACCCTGTCGAATGTGATATAGAAAAGGCATATTATAGATAGCCACTTGCGGTTTTTCTGGATCAAAACGTATTCGCTCGTCAAGCCAAATACGAGCTTGAGCATAAGAAGCAGGAGCTGAAAAGAACAGAGTGTCGAATAACACGTAAAAGGAGTAGGTTAAAGTATAAGTTCTTTTAGATTCGAACAGAATTCTAGAAATTCGAGGGGGACAATGATGAGTTTCATTCAAACAGTAATTGATTTCATGGATTATGTGAACGATCGGGATGCTACGAAAAGCCACACTGAGAACAAAGGTGTACTTAAGAAAGAGTCCGCGAGAAGATTACCCTACTCTCCATAGAGGTGGCCGGGGAAAAAATTTTTTTCGATCTTATTTTCTTAAATCACAGACTTAGGTAAACCACAGTTAAATGCAAATTATTACGTCATTTGATTTTACCTAGTCGAAATGCGAGCTAAAACAAGCTTAAAGGGGTCAAAATTGACCCTAAAAAGTCGCTAAAAGTGGGTGTGCTCAGTATTTTCACATTTTTCAATGAATGATTTGACCGGTTGAGATCGGGCACCCCTCATTAGATAGGGAACGATATAGGCTACAAATTTATTCTATTTTGATGATTCATATCTGCGATAAAAGAGACCTTATAGATCAAAAATCCTCCAAATCGCAAGAAATCCTACATTCTGGAATAGCATATTTTGGACTTTTCTTGAGTGGTGCAAGCAAGGGGGAAAAAGCGCGACTCCATGTACTCC